CTAATATTTATATACTAATAAAAGGATTACACTTATAATTTGACATATGCAGTAGGAGGTTTATTAGGAACTATAGCATTAGGTTTTATATTAGATGTATATAATGAAAAATTTACTTTAAGAATTTCAATAGTAAGCCTTATAGGGTTAACGATTTCTTATTTATTTGCAATTTTTAAAAAATATATGAGTGATTATATATTTTTATTTTTCACAGGATTTTTTTAATTTAGTATTTATTGTATTTACGATATCGGAGTTCCCATTATACTTATTTTTGATTTACTCAAATTTGGAGATTTTTCTTATATAATTATTCCTATTTTCTATGGCACTAATAAACTAGTTATTGCTATTTTTAATTTAATTAACTAAGAGTATAAATGGAGCATAAACAGTACTATTGTTGTTCCTATTATGATTATTTTAATGTTCATTAGCCTTATTATACAGTATGTAAAGGATAGAGAGATTAATTCTAAATTCAGCTCATTATATTCTTCAGAAAATTCGGATATGTCTGATAATAAAAATTATCTTATTCAAAGCGATTAAAATTGATAGAAAATAAAAATTATATAGAAACTTATATATTTAATGTATTCACTTCTTTTTGTTTTTTATATAAATATTTTTTAAAAACTAATCATTAAAAATAAAGAAAGATATAAATTCTTACTAAAATGATAATTTTATTAAATTTTTTTTTAAAAAAAAAAAAAAAAAAAAATAATATGAAGAAATGAATATATAAAAGATGAAAAAAAAATATATTAAAATAAAAAATTTAAAATAAATACTAACATTAAAAAAAATTTAATTTTTATCAAGAATTTATATGTATTTGATAAAATTTAAAGTATAATTAATTAATAAAAATATTAAATAAAGTGATAAAAAAATATTCAACTATTATTATATATTTATAATAAAATAATTTTATTTTGTAAATATATATATATATTTAAATATATATATAAATATATTTAAAAATATAATTTATTTTTTTTTATATAATTTTAATTTAATTTATTTAAAAAATATATTAATAATTTTATTAATTATATTTTTTTATTAATTATTATATTTATCCTTTCCTAAAATACCTTTTATAATAATACATAATATATTTATATAATTTTTTTTTCATATTTACTTAATCATCAATTTTTTTTCAAATATTTTTATGTCTTATATTATTACATATTTATTATATAATATTTTCATTCATTCTCCATTTTATTTTTCTGATATAGATATCTTATACAAAATAATCTTAATTAAAATATCTCTATCTATTTATTCACTATTTTTTTTTTTAATATAATTTTTTCTTAGCATAATTATTTAATATTTAAATTAATTATCTTCTTTTAATTTTACTTTTCTTCCGAAAAGATTTACAAAAATCTTATTTTTTATTTGTTTTAAAGTTAATAATAAAAAAAAAAAATTACATAACCATTAATTTAAAAATGTGTAAAACAGAATAAAAATGTTGATTATATAAAATATTAGTTATTTTTAAAATTTTTTATATTATAATTTAAAGCACTTAATAATATTTACTATAATATTATTTAATATTTTAATTTATTAATTTTTTTTTTTAAATACATATTTTTGTTCCATTTTTTTTTGTTATAAATATTCTAAATATAACTAAATATAAGCCAAAATAATTTACTTTTAATAAATATTTAAGGTATATAATTAAAATTATTAATAAGTTTTTAAAAAAATATCTTATTAATATATATTTTTTATACAAAAGCATTTGATTAAAGATTATATAAATTATCTAAAAATAACATAATTAGATAATCTATTAATAATTTAATTAATTTTAATATTTTTTTCAAAATTCATTATAGTTTTTAATTTAATATTTTTATAAATTTATATAAATAAATATTTAATTATAAAAAATATAAAAATTGCTATTATTTTTATAAAATTTAAAAATATTTATAAATAAACTTTTTAAAATATGACGTAAATTTATAAGTTTATTTTTATTTAATTTTTTTTTATTTATAATAAAATTTATATTATTTATAAAATAATAAACAATTAAATACTATTAAAATAATAATCACTTTTTAAACGTGTTTTAAAATATATTAATATTTTATAAAATATTTTAAAATTAATTAATATAGGAATATATATTTTTTTATTATAAAATATTATTTTTTAATAATAATATTAATATTAATTTATATATATACACATATAAATTTAATCTAAAAAAATATAATTAACAAATAAAACTTTCAACTATATTTTTATTAAAAAATTATAATATTAAATGAATGAGTATTTATAAAAATTAATTATATTATACATTTTTTTAAATAATTAATTTATATATTTATTATTATTTTAATATAACTTCTTTATTTATTTTTATATAAAAATAATTATTTTGATAAATTTTTTATTTATTTATTTATTTCATATAACTAATGTCTTAGTAATTTATCATTTTTTATTATCATTTTATATATTTATTTATATAAAAATATTTTATTTTAATTTTAATTTTTTTAAGATTAAATTAACCTAATGATTCTGTTAATAATGGAAAGATATTAAGCGAATTGTAATTATATGATTTATATAATTCTTAATTGGGTTCGTAAAGAATCCAATAGAATTTATTAGAATCATCACAAGAAGCTTAATTAATTATATAAAAATTATATAAATTTGGGTCAATATTATTATATGAAAATTATTTATTAAAGAAATTAAATGATCATACATTAATGCGAATTTTTAATCCAATTTTGTTGGTATCAGAATAATAATATATTTATTATGATTATATTAATAATAATAAAACAAATGATGCAATTGTTGAAGATAAAGAACCATAGTCATCAAATTAAGATACATGGAAAGTATTCTGTATAAATATCGAAAAATGTTAGAAATTATTTTCCGATAATGGTAATAAATTAATGGACCATACATAAACTACACAAAGTAATACAATAATAAAATAATATATTTCTTAAAATAAATAAAGAAACATTTACCAATATTCAAGATAAAAGAGATAAAAAAGATGCTACTATTTTTAACTAGACTGAACCAAAGATAATAGATTTAAATATTCCAACAGAGATAATACGTGAAGAAGAGTAACTTCGTTTATTAAAAGAGAGAGAAAACATAATGAAATAGGAAAAAGCACAGTAAGAATTATTAAGATAAAAAGAGCTAAAAGAAAATTAATCAAAATTAAAAGGAATACAAGAATAAAATAAAAAAACTAACAAATTGTTTACTTATGATTATGATGGCAAATTTATAATAACAAATCCCATAAAACTTGAAAAATTACCTCCAATATCGCATTAAATGTAACCTAAAATATCAGAATGTGAAATTATTCAAGCAAATAAAATTTAATAAGTAAAAACTGATAATTCGAATTTCGTTGACGAAAAAAGAAAAAGTTAAAGAATTTCAAAAATTTTACCTATAGATTAATAAGAGAGAAATATAGTATAATCTAATTAAGATGAAATATTTAATAAGTTTGTTTTGAGTAATGGAGTTACATTAACTGATGCTAAAAAATCAAAAAATGGTCCAAAATATGGATCTGATTTAGATGTTAGTGGATACAATATGTAATAAATAAACAATAATTTATTATAATTAGGAAATTAGTTAAGGATGACTAAAGAATAATACAATTAAATTATTTAAAACTATTCTATATAATAATAAAATAATACTAGTGTATTGACAAGTCTTTAAAATATTTCAAAAGAATAATAAATTAGAGTTTTGGATAATAATACAGCTAATAATACGATGATAGCTTAAGATATTATTATTACAAAAAAATTAGAAAATTCATCATTTTTTTAAGAAGTTAAAAAAACAAATTAAGTATAACCAATTAAAAATAAAAAAAAAGATAAATTAAATATTCAAAATCCTCTTAGATTAATAGAATTTCTAAAAAATGAAGACGAAGATTAATTTTTAGAATAGCTTGAAAGATAAAAAAAATTAAATCAAAAATATTAAAAATTAGCTTAATCATAGCATCCTTTAGACAATTTTTATTTAGACAAAAATATGAATTTAAAAACAGAAAAAATAGTGTAAACTAAATTAATTAAAGTTCCTAAATCAAATAAAAAATAACTTGAATAGTCTATTGGTATAATGATTAAAAATCCAAGAGAAAGATCATTAAGAAATGTTGTTTAAGCAAATATTGCTGGATTTAGGCTTCCACCTCCAGGCCTAGGAAATACTGTAGGACATGGATTTGATTAGGGTATAAATCCAGAAAAATTAAATTATGTAGAAAGAATTCAAGAAACTTTAAATAACAATACACATAATTACAGATGATTATAAAATTCAAATTATAAAATAATAATTTTAAAAATAAAACTAGTATATTTATTTTTTTTACTTATATTTAAAAATTAGATTTTTAATTTTTAAATTTTTAATATTATTTATATTTAAAAATCAAATAACTAAATGAAAATTATAAATGTATAATCTCAATAATAAGAATTATCAAAAATTTTAATATTCTTTCATAAAATAAATTTACTTCTTTTTAAAGTATTCCATGATGCTTTATAAAATAATATTTGCTCAGAAATTTTATTCAATATGCTTTTGATTTTAGAAATAATGTAACCATGTGGAGCTATAATTAATCCTGGATTTAGCTTTTTATGGAAATCAAATACATTAAAATTATTCTAATAAATATCGTCATATTCTAATGTTGGAAAAATATTTACTTAAAAAGATCCTTCTGTAATATTTTTAATTTTCTATTTTTTTATTATGTTAAAATAAAAAAAAAAAGATTTTATTGATTATTTTTTATTTCATTGTGGTTTGGTAATTTTTTATAATTTTTTTAATTGCTGTTTGCGTAATATATGTAAAAAATAATAAATTTAATTCATTTTACATTAATATTACAAAAATAATATCTTTTCATATAGTCTTCTTATAAACGGCTGGATTTGTCCCTTTTTATAATACATTTATTGCTGTTCTTTATAAAAATATTAATTAACCAGTTTTTTAAAATTAATAATTTATGACTTCATAATATTATATTCATTTTTCTTTTGCATTGGTTTCTTTTGTTTTGCTTTTGTTATAAATGTTAATATATATATAATTATATGTAGATGCTAATCCTTTTTCTCCATTGCCTTTTGCGTGTAATTCATCTTTTAAAGATGGTATAATAAAATTATGTCTTAAACTTTTTTTAGTAGGCTATGGAGTTTTTGATCCTTAATGTAAATAGGAAATCATGTTTATTATAGTGGCATTTTTTTATTTATTATTCTTACATATAACAGGTTTTTTTGGAAATCCTTAATTTAATAGAAATGTTTAAAATTTAAAAACGATTCTGAATACAATTATTTTATGGTTATCTTTTAATGTTTTGCTTTGCTCTTTCACAAAACAAAGAAATGAAGACGCAAATTCTATTTACTTTGTTTTAAGCGGATTTCCTATAGTTTGTATCTGTCAATTTTTATTAGGAAAATAAAGAAAAAATTAGATTTTGTAAAAAATACCTTAAAATATAAAAGACGAAAACGAATTTCTATAATATTTGTATGCTATTATTGAACTTATTAAATATGGAAAAGAATCTAAAATACAAGGTTTTTTAGTTTAAGGAATTTTCGAAATTCATTTAGTAAATTGTGAAAAAGAATGTTTTTGCAAAGAATATTAAAAAGAAGGTATGGATAAATTAAACTTTTTAATAGATTTCAGTACTTAAGAAAGTATAAAATATTTTCCTAATAATGCAAATTTTTATCTTTTAAAAGCCTTTGTTTAATAATAAGTTTTTGCGAATAAATTTAAAGCAGTTTATGATTTGATTATTTGCGAATAATAATAACCTTCATTCTAATAAAGCTTCTTTATTTATTCATTCAAAAGTTTTATTTAAGATGATCTTATAAAAAAAGAAACTATTATTAACGAAGGTTACGGGAATTTTTAAGCTGACAGCATGGCTTTTTATTAAAATTAGTTGGAATTGTTGATTTTGTAAATAAAAAATACTGTTGATTTATATATTTAATTTTGGAAATAAATAATTCAAGATAGTCCTGATGTTTAAAAAGCTGTCTGCTTAGGTTATTAAATAGGAAAAAGCTTCGAACATTGTTAAAATATTTACAAAGAGTTATAATAAATAGATTCTAATAATATAAAATGCATTGAAGTTTATGGAAACTTTTTGCTAAATGTTATTAATGATGAAGTTGAAGGACAAAAATTAATTGAAAAGTTAGAAGTTATTTAAAAAAATAATTAACAAAATAAAAAATGCGTTGAAAATCAATTATAAAATCAATATTAAAATTAATGCATTATTTAAATTTCTGGAAGTTTAAATGAAATTGGAAAAATTACTAATACTAATGCTGATGTATTCGAGTAAAATTTTATATAAATATATAATTATTTTATTATACATTAAGTTTTCAATTTTATTCTTTAATATTTATAAATTTATAATATGGTTTATTGATTATTTATAATATATAAACTTTTAATTAAACTTTTTATTTAATAGATTAACAGGATATCAAAAAGACTAATTAATTAATTAAAGTATTAATATATTAATGCCTCCTATATATTAATAAAATCATGATTCTTTTGTCTTTAAATACTTAAACTCAGCATAATCATAATATGTAGGACATTAAAGATTAGTACTTTGTAAAAATAAGAATAAATATATATCTTCAGTTGATATTCTTGTAAAAGTATTACCTAATATAGACTAAGGAATATAGTTTATTGGATTTTTAAATAATAATGGAAGTAAATAGCAAAGTGATTAGTTAATAATTAGTTTTATAGAAAAAAGCTTGTAAGTTTTAACAATCTCAGAAGGCTTTTATTAAGAATTTGGTATTAATTCTTCAATTATAGATTATGAAAACTACGAACAAACAAGTTTCACTATTGATTAAATATTTCCTAATATAAAGAAACATTTAGAAGAGCTTAAAAAAGAAAATAATTAAGTATAAATAATGTTTGATACTACTGCTATTCAAGAACTAATTCTTTTGTGTTAAAAAAATGAGGAAGAGTTTAACGATGATAATTTATATAATAATGAAGAATTAGAATAAAATTATTAAAATTTAACTAAATAAGGAATCATTTATGGATAATTATTATTTCAAAAAAATTTTTATAAGGATATCAATGTAATATCATTAAAATTTTCTTTATTTTTGAATGAATAAATAAAACTAAAAAGTAAATATAGTTCACATAATATTGACAATAATTAAAATGCAATTTAAGATAAAAATGAAAAAAAATAGATAAATAATGCAGAAGAGGAAGAAGCTGTATCTAATTATTCTTCTAATATGACTTAATTTTAAAATTTAAATGATTTTAGAAGAAAGATTATTGATAATAAAACACCTAAAATTATTATTTTTTTCAAAAATATTGTCTTTCTAATGTTTTTAATAATTAATATTTTCTCATTTACTGATTTAATAAAAAAAACCGATTATATTTAATAAAATAAAAATTTAATTTAAATCCTTTATTATTATTTTAACAGAAATACAATAATTTCAGAAATAAATTATTATTCCTTGAAAATATATAGTTTACAAAAGTAATTTTTTTTAATTAAATATTATTTTATTTTTTTGCAAAAGTAAATATATAGACTATATAAGTGAATAAGAGAAAATAAATCTTTATAATTAATATAAAGAAAGGTTAAACTTTTTCATTTAAACTTTATAAGATTATTAAAATTAAATACTAAGCCATAGGGTATAAAGTAGTTTTCAATAATTTAATGAATTATACTTGATGTATTAAAAGACTTTTAATAAAAAAACATTGACAGAATTTAAAAGTTTTAGTGACGCAATAATATTGTTTTTGTAAAGTGCAAATTAACTTTTGAATTCAAAAATAGAAGATTTTTAAGCAGACAATTAAGGATAAATTATTAATACTCAAACCTTAATAAAATATTATTATATATAGGAGAATGGAGTTTTTAACTTAAGAAACGCATCAGAAAAAAGGTCAAATTTGTTTTATGATTACTATTTAACTAATTTAAATGATTAATTAAAAGTATATTAAATAATTTTTATTATAATTGTTACTTTTATTATTTTGGTCATGATTATTTTAATATATATTAATTTCTAAGTTGTTTCAAATAACAGTAGAATTATTTCATTATTTGGACATATTACATTTAATGAAATACAATAATTAATAATAAAATGTGAAAGTTATCTTAAATAAAATAATAATTAAGCAAGCGAGTAAATAATAGAACTTATACAACCTGATATTATTTTATAAAAAGAAGGAGATGAATAAGAAGATGCTTAAGAAAATTCAAGAGCAGATAAATTTTTAAATTAAAAAAGTAATAATAAATTGTTAATTATTTTTAAATTTTCTTCTTTTGCTATTATTTTCTTAATTTTTTATTTCTTAAAATTTTATTATGATTATTTAATAATAAATGACATTAAGAATATGTACTTTCCTCATTTAAAAATTTCATTAGAAAGACCCTCTTAAATCAAATTCCTTATTTTATTTATTAATGAATAATTAGTTTTAGGAAAAAAAATTATCGATAAAGATAATACTATTTTATAAAATTAATATATTGAAAGAATTTATGATAACGAAAAATAATTATTTTCGTCTTTCAAAGCCTTAAGTAGTATTTATTTTCAAGATTATTATTCTAAATTTAATGAGCTTAATTCTTAAAATATCTGTGAGAAATCTAATAACTTAAGTAATTAAACTGCTATTTGTAGTTAAGTTTTCGACGGTATTTTAACAAAAGGATTAAGGACTTCAGTAGTATTTTACACAGAAAGTAATATTCTTTACTTTTTTTAAATTAAATAAAAATATATAAATAGCTTTAAGAGATATTTAAACAGATTTCGAAAATTCTTTTAAAATTAAATAAGATTAGATTAAAGTTTTAAATTTTAAAGAATTCTAATAATTAGAATAAATGAAATTACTTTTATATCCTGCTATGGATGAATTAAATAATTTATATCTATAGTAAATTCTATTTAGCATGGGTTAAAATGATACAATCAATTTAATTATATATATTTCGTTTATATGTTCCGTCATACTTATTTATTTTTTTATATTGATTCCTTATATTAAGCAAGTAACAATTTAATTATTCCAAACTAGGAAAATGCTAAATATTATACCACATAAATTAATACTTAATAATGAATAACTATTTAAAATTTTATTAAAAAAGAAACCCTAGATTAAATAAAATGAAAAAAATAATTTAATATTAAATATAATAAATATTAAAATAAATTTATAATATGTTTATTAATTTATGTGTATTTTATATATATATTAATTTATCTTATATAAATAATTATAATATATGATTAATATTTTTTTATTAATAATTGACAAAAATTACTTCGTAAACAGGCGAAAACGTATACATAAAATAGATAGATTTTTATAAAAATTAAAAAAGTTTTATTTTATAATTAATTATATTTTATTTTAGTTTAGTTTTATATTATAATAATAATAAAAAATTAAAAATATTGAAAAATATATTTTTTAATAATATAAAATATTTAAAAAGAACTTTATTCGCCCAAAAAAATATTCATTTTTAATTTTGTTTCTATTTAAGATAATTAGAGAAATTAGAGAAGTTGTTTTAGTTCTTTATACGATTATCTGAAATCTTATTGATTTTATAATTATTATATGTTAGACAAGAATTAGAAATTCTATCTCTAGTAGCAATATTAGAATAAGATTTTCGTAAATTTTAATTAAATTTATAAATTTCTTAGTTAGTATTTGGACTGCTTTAAAAAATATTTAAAGAATTAATAATTTAAATTAAATTTTATATTTAACTATCATAGAAATCGTTTTAATAGAAAGTATCATTATTAAGTTTTATATATTATTATGTTTCAAATTGTATTTATTATAGTTAAAGTTATATATTTATTTAATTTTAATAATTTATTTTTTGTTAAATAAAATTAAATAAATTTTCGAATTATTCTTTTTTTTATTAAAGTTAATTTTTGTTTGGAAATGCTTTCTCATTTTTTTCGTTTACTCTTTTATATATAGAATCACTCTTTTTTTTGCCATTATCTATCTCATCAGTAGAATATTTTCTTAATATTTTTTATATTTTTTCATTTATTTGATATTTCTTTCCTTTTTAATTATTATTTTCTTTTTGAATCAGTTATCTTTATCCTTTTTTTGATTAATTTATACTTTTTTGAATATTACTTGTTATTAATTATTGATGATTTTTCTAATGTAATTTTGTCTATTTTTATTCGAAAAATGTTAAATTTTTCTGAGTTGTATCATTAATTTCATATAAAAAACTATCTTCGAGTTTTATTTATTAATTTTAGATAAACTCAATATTATTTTTAAAAGTTTTTTAGTATTTTTGGATATTTAATTATATATTTTCAGTATTTTCTTAAATATATTAATTTTAAATACTTCCTTTTTCATTACTCTGATAACTAATATTAATTTCCGGAGATATTCTAGAATTGGTAAAAATTGTTTGTTAAGACTAAAAATTAGGTTATTTTTATATTTCATAAAGACATTTTTCTTCCAATAATTTTGAAAATGTATTTTATTAATTATTATTTTTAATAAATTAATTTTAAAATAATTTTTCTTGTTATTAACTTAAATAATTGCTTTCTATTTATAGTTCTTCACTTTTGTTAATTAAATTTACTTATTTTGCTTTTAAATCTTATTGCCTTTATTATTTAATTAAGTAAAGGTTTGGCGAATGCATTCTTAAATAATTTTAAAAAGTTATTCCTTTATTTTTTATATTTATTTCACTTTGAATTAATTTTGATTATTTATTTATTTATTAATAACTTTAATTTATAACGATATCATTTGGCTATGCATCTATCTATGGTTTTTGTATAATTTCTGATTTATTTAACTATTCTTAATTTATTTTATTTTATTTTTAAAATAGTTAGTTTTATGTTAATAAGCTACCACATTAATTTTCTTAGTCTTATATCAAATTTTTATAATTCTATAAACTTTATATATTTTATAAAATAAATATATTAGATATGTGTATTAATAATATTTTTACTTAAGTTCTTCTTATTATTTTTAGTCTTACTTCTAACTTTTTTGGAATTCTAAGTCATTTATTTATTAGTCTTTATTTTGTTGATTATAATTTACTTTATTATCTTAAATTTATATTTTTTCTATATCTTCAACCTTATTGATTAATAAACTTTAATCTATAGTATTATTTTCATTAACTTTATTTTTAATTTTATTCTAATTTATATTTTTATTCTCATCTAAATTTTTTATAACTTCTGTCTAAAAAATTTTCTAATCTTCATGAATATAATTCTAATTCAAATTTATTATTTCTTATTTTTCTATATCATTTATTGTTTTATCTTGAATAATTTTTTAATTTTAATTATTATTTTCACTTATGTTATGTTTTTCTTATTATAAAAAGTCATTATTTTATTAAAAGATTTTTTAGGACATACTATTGTTTTATTAATCTTATATTTCATAGATTTATTATTAATCATCTCTTTTATAAATATCTTAATTTTGTATGTTAAAAAAATTATTATTATTAATGAAAATTAACTCTTCTTAGTATTTCTAACTATCCTTTATTTTTATAACTGCATTTTTAGTTTAAATTTACTCTAAATCGCATTCATCGAATTCTTTTTCAATTAATTAGTTAAAATTGCCTAAATTAAAGCATCCTTTTTATTTAAACTCATATTGTATTTGTTAAAATATCTAATCTTTTTCAATTACAATAATAGTTTAATTTTATAATAAATCCCATATTTTTAAACTTTAGGCTAAATAGTTTTTATTCACAACCCAAAATTAATTTATACGTGTTGCGTTTTTAATAATATTTTATTAAATTTACTCTAGTATTTATTATTCTTGTATTAAATTATTTATTATTATATTTCTTTTTTGTTCAATAAGTTATTTTATAATATTAAGGAATGTGTTATGAAAAATATTATTAGATTCTAATTTAAAAAAAAGTTTAATAAGAGTTGAAAAAAAAGGTATTTAAATAATTTTATCATCAAATTTTTCAACATTATCTTAAAAAAAGAGAATTTATTAAAAAATTTAAATACATAAAAACTAAGAATTAGTTAAATAATTTTAATTTTAGTCAGAAATAATTTAATAGATAATTTAAAGAAATTTATTTTTTCTCCAAAAGGAATTATTTTAAAGAAAATTAGTTTATGAAAACAAAAAAAGAATTAAATTGCAAAATGCAGTTTTTTATAATTAATTAATTTAATTTTTATTTAAATACATAATTATTTTTTCGAGCAATTTTTCCTTTTCGGAAAATAGAGACTCTTAACTCTCTTCAAACGAAAATATTTATATCAAAAAATCAGTTAAACTTTATATTTATATTTCATTAAAATTTTAAAAATTTTCAATTATTTAGTTTATTATTTCTTATTTTTGTTCATTTTTTTTATTTTCATCTTCAGTTTAATTTAAAATGTTTTCTAATATTTACATTATAAAAGAATCCTAAATATTATTTATTAAATTTTAAATTATTTTCTTATCTTTTTTTATATATTCTAGCATATTTTTGCGTTTAATTTTTAACAAATTTATTACTAAGCTACTAAAATATTATGATGTTTAAGGATTTTTTTCTCTAATCTCTAAATAAGAAAATAGTTAGTCTAAAAAAGGATATGATTTATATTCAAAATTTTCTGGATTTCTTTAGTGTATAAAAAATTAAGCTATTACTCTAGCTGGTTATGCTTAAAAAATTTAATTTGTACAAAATTAAATTCTATATTAAGATGGAAACTCTTCTTAAGGACTCTAAGAAGAATCTATTGGACTCATAAGTGCAGAAATTAATTTTTTAAGGATTTCTTTCGAATTTTGCTTAAAATATGTTAAAAAATCTTAGTCTTCATTTTTAAATAATTGTATAGTTTAATCGTAATTTGAAATTATGGTATCTATTGAGTAGTTTTCTTTCATATTATTTTTTATAATTAATTTATTTTTTTGAAAATTTAAATATAATAAAATCTAAAATTATAATTTTATTTAATTGCAATACTTATTGAATTTATAAAATTAGTTTATTTAAACATTAAAAAATTAAAAATTCGTTTAATATTTAATTCTATATAAAAAATAAAATTAAAGCTTTACTATATTTTTGTAAATTTAAAATAAGGATGATTATTTTGAAAATCTAAAATTCTATTTTAAATATAAATATTTATTTAATAAATAGTTTAATTTATTATTTATACATTTATATAAACTTTATTTTATTCAATAGTATTTTAATAATTAAATTTGTTTTTCCCATATAATTTATTTTAATTTATATGGAGTTAACATAATTATTATGTGTATTTTTCTATATCTATTTAATAGTTATTATATATTAAGATAACTTTAAGCAGCTTCTTTATAATCCAGATGTTCTGGACTCCAAGGAGATGCTTTATTTTCTAATAAAATCTTAAATGATATTGTTTATATTATTTATTTATGAATATATTAATTTATTTACAGAAACAATATTATATTATCCATACTTAATTGCCAAGTATAAAGGTGTTCTTCCATTCTTTATAAAAATTAATTTTTAAATAAAAATATTAATATTATTACAATATCGAAAGAATTAATAATAGAACCATATTCTATAAGTATTTTTGCAATTTCAAAATTTCCTCGTTTAGCTGCCCAATGTAAAGGTGTTAATCCTATCTAAATTAGAAATATAATATAAAATTAAGAATAAATTAATTTTACATAATCAAAATTATAAATAATATATTTGTTATCATTTAAATATTCTTTAACTTTTAATATATCTCCAATTTTTACAGAAAGAAAAAATTTAAATGAAAGAGGATTTTAATATGGTTAATTTGGAAAGACTTAATTATTCATAAGCTTTTATTACTTTTTAAATAATATTTTTTATATTTTCATTTTTTTTTTTTAAATATTCAATTAAAAAAAAAAAGGCAAACAAAAAAAATGGAAAATATCTTTTTTATTTATAATTTAAAAAAAAAAATTACAAAAATAATAAAAAATCTTTAAATAGACAATTTTTATTTTAATTTTATTGAAATTATTTTTAATTACTTCTTCCGGAGTTAAATTTAGCTTTTTCAAAATATGTACAGCATTCATTAAAGCCTTTTTTAATTAATCTTTATTATATTTTTTTTCAATTAATGGTTGTATCTATGACATTAAAGAATCATTTATCTAATTTTATTGAATTTATTTTGTTTAATTGATTTCTTAAATACTTATTAATTTACATGGTTGAGCAGTTTTTTTGAAAACTTTTTTAAGAGAATTAGTAAATATAATTCTTTAATGCATTTTTTAGTTATAAAGAAATTAATTATTTAATTTGTTTATTTCCTCTTCTTTTGTTTCGTTTATTTTTTTTATTAATAAGGAAACTCTTTTATTTTAATCATTTGGTTTTTTTATGATTTATTAATTTGCTTCTTTAAAATCTATATTTTCTTCTAATTTTTGTTTACTTTTTGACTAATTTACCTTCTATAATGTATTCTTCTCATCTTTTTTTCTTAATTCTTATAGATAAGATTTTAAACTATTTTTGTTAAATGTTCTGTTTGTATTCATTTCAATAACTTAAACTTATTTATGAATATTTTTTAATGATATGCTTTTTTAACTTTAAAATTATTTTAATTAGATTTATGAGGAATTAGAAAGTTAATTTTAAGTCTTTGAATTCGAGTTTGCTTATCTTTCATATTAAAATAGCTTTTTAATGTGTTCTTTACTATTAATCATATTTTGAATAGAAAATTTCTTAAGTTCAGGATAATTTGAAGTGTTTGTTTAGTTTGTTTAAGAACGCATATATATTCTTTGATCATTATTTACTTAATTTTATGAACAATTTAGTTATGATAAAAGTAAATAATTACTTTTATAATTTTAATTTGAACTTTGTAATTTATTTATTCTCTAAGTTTTATTTAGCATTTAATTTTTTTTATAAGAAAGGCAGAATTAAAAACAATTAAAAAATATTTTTAATATAAAATATATTTGTATATTTTATACTATTTTATATTTTATTTTTAATTAAATTGTTTTTCTTATAATTTTTCTTTATTTTTTCTATAATTTTAGACGATTGATTATCACGAACTTAAAATCGCTTATTCAATAAATTTTAATTATAGTTTAAGTTATTCATTTAGCTTAAATATTAGATATTTTATAATCCTTATTAATCAATATTGATTACATGTTTGAAATATCTCTAAAAGCCTTTATATAAATTTTTATCAAAAAATGTAATTAATGATATAATAAAAATGCTTTGAAAAAAATTCCTATTTTTAATTATTAATTAAAATAATTTAAACAAAGTAAAAATAGACTATAAATATATATCTAAATAAATAAAATATAAAGTATAAAGCTGATTATTACTTAAATTAATAATATCTTAAAATGGAGAAAAAAATAGGATTTAAAAATATGCATTTTTTTAGTGGCTACTATTCAATTTTAAATATTTTTATAAGTATTTTGTAATTGCTTCCCTGTCATGATTTTTTAGATATAAATAATCGTTCAAATTCTTTATTTATATGTTTGTAATTTAAGAATAATCATCTGAATCTTTTTTATGGTTTCAAATTAATTTCAACTTTTAATATTTGAATTTGTGAAAATAAAAACTATTTGATTTTTAGAAAAAAGGTATTTATTATTTTTTAAAAGACTGAAATAAATTTTTGTTATTGGAATAATTGATAAGAAAGTGAGTAGTCTTATAAAAAATTATTATCGTTATATAAACAAAACACATAAATGAAATGAAGTTTTATGAGAATAAAGTAAAGCGAAAACGAAGATTTTTAATATATTTTATGAATTTTAAATTAAATATACTATTATTTAATTTAATTAAAAAAAAAAAAATTATAATTAGATTAAAATTAATTCATAATAGAAAATTTATTTTCTAATTATAATAAGTTTTTAATTGATATTAGCTATTAAGGACATAAGAGCATGAGTCTGAATTTAATCATTTAATAAATTTAATAATAATTATTACTAAATCGATATGTTTAAAAAAATTTCTTATATTTAAAAAGGGCTGTTAAATCTTTGTAAATAATTTTTATTTTTTCGGCTTGCTTTTTCTAATTTTTTTATATTTGATTGTATAATTTTATTTCAAAATAATTTATTTTTTATTATGTATTAAGAAAAAATTAGATGGAGCACTGGGAACTATAATATCTGTGTCAATAATGAGTCTAAGGTTCTAAAAAGAAAGAATAACGAGTTTTACTAGTAACAAAAAATTAAAATTATTTAGATTACGTTTTTACTCTTATTTTTATTACTTTATATTAATTTTTGTACTAAATTAAGAGGGTTTATAATAACAGCTGGGTGGTTATAAAAAGTTGTGGCACTTTAGTTATTTATATTACTATTACATAAATATTCAATAAAACATATAATAAAATATAATTAATTAAAGATATAATAAAGTGATTATTAGAAATAAAAAGATTATAAATAAATAATTATTATGATTTTAATATATAAATATATATTTTAAATAATATCATATAAAACCCGAATATATTTTTAAAAAATTTTACTATTATATTTATTTATAAAAAACATTAAATTATAAAATATAATTTATGGTTTAACATATTTAATACATTATATATTTTTAAACAAAATATATTATTATTTATTAAAATAGAAAAATTAATATGTGAATATAAAAGATTTAAATATTTTATAAATATTTGACATAAGAGATAAAATTAAAAATATTTAAAATCTATATTGCAAAAATAAATTCTTTTATTATATAACAAACAAATTAAAATAATTTAAATAAAGATCATAATCAAAATAATAATAATAATAATAATAATAATAATAATAATAATAATTATAATTTAAAAATAAATATGAAAATAGTAACTTTATTAATTTTTTTAATAATTTAAATAAATTGTGATTTATAAAAATTTCAAGAATATAAACTAACATATAATAAATAATATTTAACTGAAGAATAACATCAGAAAGGATATGAAAATTATAAAAAGAATAATTTCCATATCGAACAACACAAATTAATAAATGATAACTCTGCTGATTTTGGCCATACAATATTTTCTGATATATCTCCAAAAGAATTTTCTGAAAAACATTTAAAATTCAATCACAATAAATTAAAATAAAAAAAACATTTGATTCCTAAAAAATTTTTTTCGATAAATTTTTTAGATAATTTTTTAGATTTTTTTGATTATTTTAATTTCTTTAATTTCTTTAAATATAGATAATATAATTAAGTTCTACCTTCATATTTTGATTGGAGAGAATAAGGAATAATAACTCCTGTGAAATATCAAGATACATGCGGAGGATGTTGGACATTTGCGACAACTGGAGTAATAGAATCTCAATATGCTTTAAAATACAATAAATTAGTAAACTTCTCTGAACAATAACTTATCGATTGTGATTCTATTAATGATGGGTGTAGAGGAGGTTTGATGACTGATGCCTACAAAGCAATTTAAGAAATGGGAGGATTAGAAACAAGTGAAGATTATGGAGAATATTTGAATTCGAAAGGCTAATGTAAAATTGATTCAAATAAAGTGTCCGCAAAAGTAATTAATTGGTACTAAATATCAGAAGATGAAGAAGCTATAAGAAGAGAACTTGTTTAGAATGGACCAATTGCAGTAGGAGTTAATGCTAGATTTTTATAATTCTATTAAGGAGGAATTTTAGACCCTAAACTTTGTGATGATTCTATTAATCATGCTGTTCTAATTGTTGGATATGGAGAAGAGAATGGAAAAAAATATTGGATTATTAAAAACTAATGGGGGAAGAGTTGGGGAATTAATGGATATTTCAAATTAGTTAGAGGAAAAAAATAATGTGGTGTTCACACATATGCTTCTATAGCTTTTATTGAATGATAAAATTAAATTTAAACATTTTGTGATAAATTTATTTTTTATTTTATGTGTTTAATAAAATTATATAATATATTTTTTTAAACAAAAATATTTATAATTTATATTTAAAAATTATTATTTTTCTTTAAAAGTATTATATAAAATGGCAATTAATATAAAATTAAGTAATAATTTATTTTAAAAGGAAAGGTTAATTGCAGATTTATAAAAAGAAAATGGATAGTTATAGTAATAAATATTGCTTTTATAATAATAAAATAATTAACTTTGCTATGAGAAAAATTAATTTATAAAATACGAATAAACAACATAAAATGAAGCGAAATTAAATGATATTCAAAACTAATAATTAATTCATCAAAATAATTAATTAAAAAAATAAAATGAATAATTGATTGATAAAAATACTTAAATTAATTAAAATTTAGATAAATTAAAATAAGAAACCTCAGATTTATTGCAAGAACATAATTAAATGAAAGAAGAATTAAAAAATAAAAATTATAAAGCAGATAACTATTAAAATGAAATTTAAATGCAAGAAAAACATAACAAAAAACTCGAAAAAATAGTATAAGAATAATAAGAAAAGATAGAAGAGTTAAATCAAAATATCGAAATATATAAAAAAAGCATAAAATAAAAAGACTAGCATGTTGCTATTTTACTAAAAGAAAAAAATAATCTTTACAATTAAAAAGAAGAAAAAAATGAAAATATTATTTCAGAAAAAAATATTGATAAAATTAATATTGAATATAAAACATAAAATTAAGTATTTGATAGAAATATGTAATAAAGTGAATAAATAAAGTAACTAAAATTAAAAATAAATTCTTTAGATAGATAATTATAAGAAAAAGAAGAGTTGATAAAAAAAATAAGAGATGAGAATTTTTAATTAATAACGCGAATCAAAAATTTAAAAAAATGATTTATTTTAAATACATAAATATGTTTAAAAAAATTAATTATAAAAAAAGGATATAAAAGTAAATATTAAAAAAAAAATATAAATATAATTCCAAAAACAATAATAATAATAATAAATATATATATATATATATATATATTTATAATTTTTAAATATAAAATATATAAATTAACATCAAAAATGTCCAACCAATAAGAAAACAGAATGAGAGAAATTAAAATAGCAAAATTAGTTATTAATTGCTGTGTTGGAGAATCTGGTGATAAACTTACAAAAGCTGCAAAAGTTTTAAAAGATTTATCCGGATAAGAACCTTGTTTTTCAAGAGCTAGATATACAATTAGATCATTTGGCATTAAAAGAAATGAAAAAATGGCTACCCATGTCACTATTAGAGGTGATAAGGCATAAGATATTCTTGAAAGAGGTTTAAGAGTTAAAGAAATGGAACTAAGAAAAAAAAACTTTTCTAAAACTGGTAAAATTACATAGATACATATAAATAAATTAAATAAATTTTTACTTAAAGGAAACTTTGGATTCGGCATTTAAGAACATATTGATTTGGGAATGAAATATGATCCTTATACGTAAAATTAATTTTTAATATGCATTTATTCATTTGGTTTTATTTAATAAAAAGTGGTATTTTCGGTATGGATTTCTACATTGTTCTTGAAAGACCTGGAAACAGAGTAGCAAGAAAAAGAAGAAGATAATCAAGATTAGGTAATAAAAATTATAAATAATAATTTTAAAATAAGTTGTTTAAATTTTAACATTTTTTTTTTTAAGGAAACAACTAAAAAATAACAAAAGAAGAATGCATAAATTGGTTTAAATAAAGATTTGAAGGAAATGTTTATTGAAAAATCAGTGATTTTTTGTTAATTCAATAATAATAAAAATAAAATATATAACAGTATGCATAATTAATTTTATTTAAATCTTTCTTTATATAATTAAAATTATTTTTATTTAAAACTAATAAAATTTATAAAAATATTTTTTAAAATATATAGTTTTTACATTAGAAAAAATACTTATATTTCCTTTTTTGTATTTAATTTTAAGAAATTTGTTTACATATTAAATATTTAAAAATTATATAAGTAAGAAATATAAAATTATATTATTTTATAAATAAAATCTTTTCAGAACTTAAAGTTTTTAGTAATATTAGAAACTTTCAGAAAATGTAGTTTTATTATAATTTCTATATTTTATTTTTTACAAAAGTCCGGTTCTTAAAATAAAATATATAATTTATAAATTAAAAATATATAAAGATAAGAAAATAAAGATATTTAAAAAATAATAATATTAAAAATAAAAAATATAGAAAATGTCAAACGCAAAGTTATTAATTTTAGAAATAAAAAAAAATAAAATAAAATTAATATAAACAGTAGTAATTATGATAGAAGTGTAAACACATTTTCAAAACAAGGAAGATTACTTTAAGTAGAAAATGCAATGCAAGCTATGAAAGTAAATATTTTAAAATTAAAAAAATAATTAAAAATAAAAAAATAAAAAAAAGTTAGGTAACTCTTCAATTGGAATAAAAGTAAATGAAGGTGTCGTATTAGCTGTTGAAAGAAAGGTTGATTCTACATTAATGAATCCTAAATCAAATGAAAAGATATCTGAAGTATAAATAAAAAAATTAATTAGTTTAAAAAAAATATTAAAAGATTGATTGTCATATAGCTTGTGCAGCTTCAGGATTTATTCCAGATGCACGTACATTAGTTGATTATGCTAGAGTAGAGGCATAAAATCATAGATTTACATATAACGAGCCTATGAATGTTAGAGCTTTGACATAAACAGTATCTGATTTAGCACTCAATTTCGGAGAAGGAGATCCATCTATGAAAAGAAAACCAATGGTAATTAAAAAAATTAGAATTTTTTATAAAAATGTTTTTATATTATTTATATAATATTATTTTTTGTTTTCTTTAATTAAAAATAAATTTAATTTTTTACACAGTCAAGACCTTATGGTGTTGCATTGCTAATAGCCGGAGTAGACGATAGTGGTCCTAATCTTTATAAAACAGGTATATATCTAAATTATATATTTAATTAAACTACTTATTATTATTAGATCCTTCCGGAACTATGACCGAATATTTTGCTTAAGGTATTGGACCTGCTGATGAAGGAATACAAGTTATTTTGAATGAATAATATAAATAAGTAATATTAAATTTATTCAATTAAATATTATTTTCCAAAAAAATAAAATAGGATTTAACTTTGTTAGAAGCTGAAAAATTAGCTTTAAATTGTCTAAAATAAGTCATGGAAGAAAAAATTAATAAGAAGAATGTTGAATTGTGTGTCATTTCTACTGCGAATCCTATCTATACTGAAAGATCTCCTGAATATGTTGAAGAAATTATTAAAAATTTATAATGATATTTTAAAGCAAGAAAATTTATTAAAAATATATATTTAATATTATTGTAAGATTTATATAATAAACAAAATAATCAAAAAACAAATTAATTAGAAATATAAACAATGTTTAGTTTTATAATTAAAATATAAGTTTATGTATTTTTTTTAGTTTTTATTTATTTATTTTGTAAAATAAATTTAAATAAAAAGTTAAACAATGACTATTTAAATAATATTAGATATTGAGAATATTTATCTAAAAATAAGGTTCATTAATAAAATTCATATTTTTACAATTTATTAAAGAAATAAATTTCTATTTTTTATATAAAAATTTACTTTAATTTGATTGACTAATTAGTAAAATTCATTTAAAAAATAACAATCAAGTTTTTATTTATTCAATATTTTTATTAAAAAAAATTAAATATTATATTTTATATTTTTAGTTAAAGTTAATCTAGATTAAAAATATTTTATTGATGAGAACTTTTTAAATATCAATAATAGATATAATTTTATATAAAAATAAACATTTAACATAATAAAATATTTTTTTGTATATTAATCATAAAATATATATAAAAGAAAAATATTATATATTTATTACATATTCTTGAAAAATAAAAACTATAATTTCTTAAAAAAATGTATTTATATAATTTTAATAAAACTAAATTTTACATAATATTTTTTTGTTTTTAAAAAAAATTTCTTTATTTTTAAAGGCTAATAACCTATAATATAATTTTTAAATTAAATAATGATAATTTTAAAAATTCTATAGTCTTATTATTTTTAAAATACTTTTACTATTGTATGATGGATTTTTTTCAATATCGAGTAAAGATTTAATAAATTTAATTTTTACTTTTTTTAAAAAAAGTATTATTTTAAAATACTTTTATTATTAGTATTTTATAAAATATTTTTAATTTATATTTCTCTGATCTAAAGTTTATATATTTATATAATTTTATATATTTTATTATGTTTTATTAGAAATCCAATTTAATTTTTTTTTTTTTTCTAAAAATAAGAATTTTAATGTATACTATATTATTTTATTAAAGCTATAAAAAAAATGTATTTGAAAGCTTATAAAATTTTATGTCAATTGTTTTTTAATATGTTTTTTTTTTTATAAAAAATAAATTATAATATCTTAAAAAAAATTAATAAATTACTAATAAAAAAATTTATACACAAGATTAGATACCAAAAAAATTAATATTACTTAAGTAGAAGAAAAATTATAAAAAGTTATTGTGAAATTAAAAAAAGTTCTTTAATCTTCATAATCTGCTAATGATTATAATAATAATACCAATAAAAATAGATTGGATAATACATAATTAGAATAAAATAAATAGAATAAATATTTAATAATCAAATAATACAATTGTTATTAGTAAAAAATGAACTTTTAGCGATTAAATATAGAAGAATAATAATAATAGTATATTAAAAAAAAAATATATGTAAAAATGAAATATTAAAAAAATATAAGATATTATTATTCTTAACTTAAATTATTATAAAAAGTGTAAAATAAATAAATGATAATATAAATTTATAAAAAAGTATTTTTAAAAATAACTAACATACTTAAATTAAAATATTTCGATTAACTAGAATAAAATTAAAATTTAAGAAAGAGATAAAAAGAATTTTAAGAATAAAATAAAGAACAAAAAATATTTTTTTAAGAACTTCCTGATGCGCTTAAATAGTTACTTGAAAATTTTTTAATAAACATTTAATTTTATTCAACACATAAATATTATTAATAATAAATAATTAATATAGTTAAAATAAATATACTCAATAAAACAAAATATTTTAAATAAAATTATAATTGTTTTTAAATATATTATTATTTATTCTTATATTAATTATAATTGTTTGTATGATATTTATTTTATTAATATATGAATTTTAAAAATATATATTTATCTTCAAATTATTTTTAAAACTGATATTTAAAATAGAATCATATGTTAAATATATTATAAATTATAGAAAGTTCACAATATTAATTTTTACAGCTTTTTTTAATGTTCTATATTTATTTTCTAAAATATAAAGAGAATATTATATAATGAAAAAATTTTATTAAATTTTGGGGTTGTAAATATTTTGATACAACATTTTTTATTTCATTCTAATTATTTTTATTTATAAAAATAAATTTTTAATTCGTCTTAATTAAAAGTAATATATTTAGTTCTAAAGAAAATATCTCCTAAAATAACTATTGGTTAATTTCCATTTTAATTACCAGCTATTCTTATATAACAAACTTTTTTATCACAAAGTAAATAATTTTCAGGCGTAACAAAAGTTGAGTTTTAATTACAAAATTCAAATTTTAATGATGGATAAACCGAAATATCCATTTAATTACATTATATAAGTTATAATTCAGTATTTATTTTGCATTCTAGTTTTTTCAAGCTAAAAAAGTAATTTTTAATTATTTTAAAATCGTTTTGATTAAATATAATAAAACTAGTCCCTGAGTCAATAATAGCTTAATTACTTTGTAATCCAAGATTAATTTCTAAATCTTAAACTATTGCAAAGGTTTAAACAACTTAAATACTCCAATAATCTTTAGAATTTACTGGGCAGCTAAAACCTTGACTTAAATCAGCTAAATTAGAATCATTTTCTCCAATAATAAAATAATTATTAATTATTTAATTTTTTTCTTTTCGTCATCTTTTTCTTAAGTTAAATAAAATGAAAATTATTTTTTAGAAATTACTTTTTGCTCTTTTAAATTATCAATTATGTTTCCAAGCCCAGAACTAAGTTTAGAGAATCCTAAACCTAAAAGCCCTTAAGAAGGATAATAATTTAATTCATTAATTTCCTTTATTCCCAAAAAATGTTAATTTTAAATAAAAAAGTTCGATTATGAGAAACCTACTTTATCTTTAAAAACCGTTCCCACAACTTACCCTTGTCCATATTAAATTTGTATTTCTCTATTTTCCTAACTACAAGTTTAGCTTGTTTCACAGATAAAAAATTTCTTAAATCCTATTTCTTTACACTATGAACAGTCTTTTAACCCAACCCAAGTTATAGAGCTGCCTGTATCAATAGTAACTTTGAAAAATTAATTATCTGAACCTATTACTAAATCCACAGAATAGGAATTATCATATATAGAATATAAATTAAAATCTTGAACTGCTTTTTAATTTAAATGCAACTTTTCTAATAATTTGCTACGGATGCTTTTTAATTTATATTTATGATAGTTTTACTATTAGATTTGGCTTCTAAAATTCTTAAGGAAATTTAAAGAGCTATGTTTACTTTTTAATTATATATTAAAACGTTATCCTTATAAAAATGTAATAATAAATGTCAAAAAGGTAAGGAAAATAAAAAATTTGAGCATCATTGAATAAATTTTAATTATATTTAAATAAAAATATGCTTTATTTTATTATTAAAGAAAAAACAATATTATAAAGACTACAAAAATATTTAAATTTAATTATATTATAATAATATAATTATATTGAATTTTTAATAATTATTTAAAATTAATATTGAAATAAATATCTTATATGTTTCTATAATTTTTACATTAAATATTTATATATATTAATTATTCTATTTATTTCTGAATTATTGATATTAGTAAATAGAAAAAAAATGAGTTAAATATAATCATTTAAAGTAAATATAACTCAATTAAATCCTGAATTAGAAGAAAAACATTTTTTAGAATTAATTAAATAATTCTAAAATTAAATAATATATTAATATTATGTAATGGGTTGTTTTTTGTAATAATTTATTTAATTATAAAAATAATAAATTAAATTTTAATTTTTCAATAGTTAAAATTAAATTGAATATTCAAGAGCACATTTACATTTTAATAATGAAAAAAATATGAATGAATTCATATCAAAATTTACTTATGATAAATGTTATTTATATAATTTAAAATTTACTATTTTTAAAATAAAACTAAATAGGTAAAGTTGAAAAAGCAATTTATAATATTTTACCGAAAAATAAATAGTTAAATAATAATGGAGAATATAAAAAGGACTTTATGTTTTAAAAGTTTTAAGAATACTCTAAAAAGCAATAAGAAAATATTAAAAATGAAGAATTAAAAATAAATTAAAGCGAACAAATAAATATAAAATGTAAGAAATATATAAAAATCAAAAATAAATTATTTAAACATTTTTTAATATACCAATAATAGCCGAATAGTAATAAAATATAAACAATGATTATGATAACTTAACTGACGAATAAATAAGATAGAAAGAAAAGGCAGAAGCGAGAAAATAAAAATTAAAAGAAAAATTAAGTAGTGGATAAAATTAGGTATAAAAATTATATATACATATTAAAATATATTTTATAATTATAGATATGGGCACCAAAAGTTAATTTTATACCACATTAATGAATTAAAATATTAATTTGAAAATAAATGCAATATATATACTATTTAAAAAATTTTTTTATAGTACAAACATTAATTAAATATATTATATATTATAAATCAAATTTAATTAATTTCATTAATAAATTCATTTTATTAGTTTTGATTTTAAATTAAATTAATTAAATTACAATAAAAAATAATAATTATAATTAATAATTTAATATGATTTTCAAAATATTAAGTTTATTTTATCGAACAAGTATTAATTTTCTTTTGAAATTAATTAATTTTAAAATAAATTATGAGCCGAAATTTTTCGCCAAATACAATATTTATGTTTGGTCAAATATTGATATAATTTAATTTTTATAACACATATTAGTCAAATTACAAAAATAAATAATAAAATATTATTGTTTATATTCTTTCTTTTTTAATTATACTGCAATTTCACTTTTTAAAAATTTAATCGAACATTTTTTAATTTAATTTTTTTTTCCTGTTTTCCAAAATTATAAATATTTTTATTTTGATACAGTTTTTATAAAAAAATTATAGAAAAGATATAAAGAAAATATGATAAAGTTATATATTATTTTATTATTAATAAATAAACATTGTGATAAAATTAATATTTATTTAATTAAAATTTTGTATTTAAAAAATAATTTAAACTTTTATTTTTAGTTAGTTTTATACTTGAAAAAGTCATTTAAAAAAATATATATTAACTTCATTTTTTATTTATTTTTATAATTTTTATTTATCAAATTTTGTAGCCAAATATATTTGTAAAGAATTAAATAGATCATTACTTAAATTAATTTTATATGGGGTTTGCTTTTGGTTTGACTAAGAGCTTATTTGTTGGTTGTATAATTCTATTAATTATAATATATAATAATTTTTATTGTAATTTAGTATACCTTGGCATTTTAGGAAAACCATTTCTTGTATTTACTCCATTCTCATTATTTGGTATTTAATCAATGGAAATATCTTTTAAATTATATTGATTTATTAAATTTAACATATTATTATTTTATTTTACCATTAGGATCTTCTCCTTTTTCAATTTTTTCTTGCTATTTTTTAAATATCAATTATTTTTTGAATGCCTATGTTTTTTTTTTTATGAATAAATTTAAAATCATATATTTATAAATACTTATAATATTTTTTATCCTTTATCTTTTTTATCTTTATTAGAGCTCATAATTGCATCTTTTTATATTAAATTTTGAAAATTTATTTAGAACAAGTTAATAATATATTAAAAAAATATAATCTTACCTAATATTTTCTTTCTTCTATATTAACTTACATTCAAACGAAATGGAACATTCTAATCCATTTCATCTTCTAATTTTCCAGTCATCATTTCTTAAATTTTTATTTATATATATTTATTATTATATTATATTAAATTTATATATTACTTTTAAAAAAATCAAAGATTGCACTTTTTTCAGAATCATCATTTTTTTTATTTTTATCATTTTTCTAAACACTACTCATAATTGTTAAGAACTCAGTAAATTCAATATCTCCAGAACCATCTTAATCTACTTAATCAATTAATTTTTATACTTCTTCTCTGTTTTATGCTAAGCCTAGAGCAATAAGTGGATCTTCAAGTTCTTCAACCCCTATACTACCTTTATATATATAATAGATTAATTATTTATTATGATAAATTAATTTATTAAATTTTTGAATATATATTAATAATTAAAATCAATTTACCTCCTCCGTCGCTATCTAAAGATCTAAAATAATTTCTTAAAAGTAAAATTTCATCATCTTTGAAATCAATATAATCTTCTTTTCCATGTGATTTTAACCATTTTCTTTAATTATATTGCAATTAAAACTAATGACATAATTATTAAAATATTAAAAATATTTATAAGTAATATAAGATATACTATATTTTAAGGGGGTTTACAAATGATTTATTTTAATGATGACGATTCTTATTATTATTATTGAATTTATGACATTTGTATAAAATAAAACAATTATATATTAATTTATTTTATAATATTAAATAAAATTAATTAAAATCATAATATATTTATTTTTTACAAATTATATAGTAAAAACAGTTATTATAAAAACTATTAATGTATATTTATTTTTATAACATTTCTGTACTTTATTTCAAATTAATTTGAGTTTCAAATATTTTTTTGTAAAAAGTTCTATTAATTTATAAATTTTAATATATTTTTTAATTTTAATAAAAGCTATACTTATGAGTAATATTAAATAAAAAGAATTATGAATATTTAAATGGATTATTTTTATAGAAAATTATTTAGAAATTTTTTTTAGTATCAAATAACTAATTATATTTTATAAAATTAATTAATATTTTATTTTCATTTTTAATTTTTTAAATATAATTATATTATTTTTTTATTTTTAATTTATATAAAATGATTAGAAATGTTGAAAATGATGATTAAATTTATAAAATTTAAAGAAAAAATTCTTAATATTTGCATTAAAAAGAAGATAATAAATCATAAGATTATTTTAAATAAATACGGTAAATAGAAAATGAAGAGGCTAACCATTAGTTAGAATAATTTTATTTATAGAAGCTTGAAATTTAAAGAGAAAAAGTAAAATTAATAATTATATATTATTAAATACAATTAATATTATAGATTGAATACTTAATAAATGAGTTTAATAAAAAAGATGAAATAATTTTTGAATATTAATAATAAATTATATAACTTAAAGAAGTATAATAATATGATGAATGTTTAAAATAAGAAATAACATAATTAAACAGATAATTATTATAAAAAAATGAATAAATTTAAATACTTGTTTATTAAAAAAATTAAATATAAGTAATTAAACCTAATTTGAGTATTATTTAATAAATACAAAAAAAATAATAGAGCGAATTAGAAGAAGCAATTATAAAATTAAAAGGCAGTTGGGAAGAAAAAGAATAAAATTATATTGAATAAATTAGAAATACTAAAGAAAGTTTAAATGATTTAAAGAAAGATAATAATTTACTTAGAATTGATTAAGAAATGAATAGAAAAAAAATAGAAAATTATCAAGAATTATAAAACTCGATAAACGAATAAAAGAAAATCAATTATGAAATACTTGAAAACTAATAAAATAATGTATTTATTTTTTAACTAAAAAATTAAATAAAATTAAAAATAGAATTTTTAATGGTAAAAAAACATTGAAAAGTTGAAAGCCTAAATAGAATAAAATAGAAACAAATCAGAACATAAACATATTATATAAACTGAAAAAAATTAAAAACTTTTATTTGAATTATAAGAATTATAATAAAAAGAAAGTATATATATAAAATACTCAGCAAATATATTATTTTAAAGGAATAAACAATAAAAAATATGAAGAAATAAAAAATACAAAATTAGATTTAGAATATAAAATTAAATAATAGCAAGAAGAAATAAACAATTTATATAGTATTAATAAAGAAAACGAAAGCAAATACTAGTAAATAATCTAAATTAAAGAACAAGAATCAATAATACAAAACGATTTGATAAAGTCTAAAAATATACAAATATATAAATCATAATCATGTATTTTTTTAAATTTTAAGATAATTATAAGAAGAACATAAAAAATCTCATGATATAATGAAAGAAATATAATAAGAAAATATAAATATAAAAAAATAAATATTAGTATTAAATTTGGATAATGAATCATTTTTATAAAAAACATAAAAATAAGAATTAATTCAAAAATAAATATAGGATGTAAAATAAATTTAAACTTGATTTTATTTTATTTAATATTTTTTTTAAAAAAATAGATAAACGACTTTTTAAATAAAGAAAAATAAAACGAAATTTCTAAAATTGAACTTTTTGTAGAATAATTTTTAAAAGAAATAAAAAACAATAACTGAAATTAAACTTATGATACAAATTATTTTTTTATTAATTTTATTTTAACGATATGTCAAATTATCAATTAATATAAATAAAAATGAAAATCATTTATAATATTTTTTTATTTTTTTAATTTATTTTCATAATTTAATGTTTTGATACATCCGTTTCGAAGCTTCTAAAATTTATAGTGATGATATTGCGGAATGCCTTCTCAACGACTTTCTTCTTTTAGATATTTGAAAAAATTCTAAATAAAGATAAAAAAGTGTTATTGTAGGATATGAGTAATTAAACTCAATAATAGTATATTTTAGAGTAGTTTTACATTATTTTATAAATAAAAATATCATAGATATAATTATAGATTAATTAATTTATTCTATATACAGAAATCGCGCTCTACATAATTTTTTTATATTACTTGTTCTTATTATTTTATTTTTTCTGTAATTTTGTTTAAAAACTTGATCAAAAATAAAAAAGGCATTTATTTTTTCAGATTAATTTTTTAATAATAATATATAATTAATTACAAACGAAAGAGTTGAATATATTATAATAGAGACACTATTATAAAAAAATATTTTATATCGAATATTTTAATTATTATTATATTGGGCATGTAATATGTTACACTAAACTAGAAAATCATTAACACTTTAATTTTGATAATGAAGAATAAGATAAATTTTAAAATAATACTTATTTACGTATAAATTTATAAAATCCTTCGTGTATTTATTATTAATTTTATTGTGTAAAATATTTGTTTTTATGCAATATAGAGTTTTTATTTGTATGTTAACTAACATATATTTTTTATATATTATCGAATAATTTTAAAAATAAAAAACTAAAAATTATTTAATATTTTAATATATTTTAATTATGGATTTTAAAGTTTCATTGATTTCTGGTTTTAATGCAGGATTAGTTGGATAACTTGTAGGATAACCGTTCGATTTTATTAAAGTTTAATTATAAACACACAGGAATAAATACAAAAATGGTTTTGATTGTTTTTTATAAACTGTTCGTTCTGAAGGAATTTTTGCATTATTCAGAGGTTTTATAAAAAAATGCAATTATTATTAAAAATAATTAAATTAATTTCAGTTTTTTCAAATAATTTATTATCATTACTTTTTTCAAAAATTCATTTTTTATATTAATAAATATTTAAATTATTTAATAGCAATATATTTTAATAGGTGGATCGATGTCATTAATGGCATAAATTATTGAAAATTCTTTACTTATTGGAGTAATTGATTTTTTCAAAAAAATTGTAAAAGCCGAAAATGATACTTGTTCAAAAAGCCTATTTTGTTATTTTTGTGCCGGAGCTTTAGATGGATTGTTCTTTACTCCTTTTGAATTAGTAAAGATCAGGTATAATTATAAAAAAAAATAATTAAAAAATTAATAAATATAATATTAAAAATTATAGAAGGCAAGTTTAAAATCCTTCAGAAGCATTGCAATTTAATACACTTTAAGTTACTATATAAATATACAAATAATATGGTTGAAATACAAAAATTAAATAATATAAATATATTAATATAGCTTTAATAATATATGAATTCATAAAGGATTTAAAGGACTCTACAGGGGTAGTAGCGCGTAAATGTTGAGAGAATCTACTGGAAACATATTTTATTTTGGTTCTTATTTTTATACTAAAAAATTACTTGGAAGAAATAAAAATGAAAAAATTTCAAAAGAAAAAAAATTTTTGATTATTTTATATCAGGCAGTGTTGCAGGTTATACTTTTTTTTATATTAAAATAATTTTTTATAAATATAGGTATGTCTTATTGGCTTTTTATATATCCAATAGATACGATTAAAACAATTATTTAGGCAAGCAATAAAAAAATAGAAAATTCTTTTGAATATACTAAAAAAGTTATATACAAAGTAAATAAAATAATAATAATTTTTTGTATAAAAATCTATAGCATGGAATATAAAGACTTTATATAGGAATTTTTCCTTGCTTAATCCGATCTATTCCAGTAAATGGTAAAAATCATATATTTATTAAAAAATATTACATTATATATTAAAGCCGCATATATGATTACTTATGAAA